TTCCACAGGCGAGAGGTGCTATGTATGAAGCTATTGGAGTAGAAGAGGCGGCTACAATTAAAAGTTTCTACAGTGTAAGGGTGGGAGCGGGATGCCAGCCTCATAGGGCACTTGAATTCATGGAGTCTGGGAACCAGTGAAAGCAGCTCATTGGAACAATTACCATGAAAGTATTTGTAGAAAAGACAGAGAGAGGCGACGACGTGTCTGTGAGAGAGTGACTGCAGACAAGACGCCAATAACATTACATATCCGTCTCTGTATCTTGTCAAGAACTCCAAGGTAAACAGAAGGTGCCCCAGACCATAAATGGCAACAATACTCCATGCAAGGGCGAATGGTTGATTTGTATATTTGAAGTATTGATTTCGTGGAGAAAAATTTCCTGGCGCGGCACAGAGAGCCAACTTTCCTCGCGGTGGAAGAAGCAATTGACTCAATGTATTTGTTCCATCTCAGGTCAGCAGTCAACGTGAGACCGAGCAGATGCAGGGAGTTGCTCTCAAGAAGTTGACTATCAGACATTCTAATGGGGGGCAGGGTAGGATCTCTATGGTTGTTAATGGAGAGTAGTTTAGTTTTTGAGGCATTAAAGTTGACCAGCCAATTCTTGCCCCCGTTAACAACCGATTGTAGGTTCATTTCAAGACGAGTGGCCAGGTTAGTTTTGTCAGCGACACTAGATTTGTTTTTGAGGCAGGAGTAAATTGTAGTGTCGTCCGCGTAGATGCCAACTTGGGAATCTATGGCGTCAGGAAGGTCATTGATGAAAATAAGGAATAGAGTGGGGCCAAGGATGGAGCCTTGGGGGACACCTGTGTTCATGGAATAGGAAAGGAACTGGAGGAGAAAGGCACACTTGTCACTGTTCAGGATATGATGGGTAAATTGTCACCATTATATATTGTTTTGATGCGCATTGTTAGTTTTTGATTTTATCGAGTGCACATTAAGTAGGATCAGTTGGGCACCATCTGTAAAGAAAAGAGCACCATGATGCAATTCACTCCACCAGAAATTTGGAAATAGCATGCTGTACTGCTTGGCATTCACACTAGAAACTCTGATGCGAACAATTCAGAGTGTTTGGGTGTCAATCTAAGGACAATGCAGAGGATTCGGAAAGAGTTGGATGAGTCTAATGGTGTTTGGAGTGAGCATTAGTGATGGTAAAATTATGCCTCTGTTCATTTTCCCACAGGGCCTCAGACCCAACATGGAGGCCTATAGAAGGTAGTGCTACCTTGGGTCAAGAGGGTGGCTGCTGGAAGACCCTGGCAACAGGACTCTGCACTATATCACACAAGCAGGAGAATCCAATCATAATTTCTGCAACCGCATCAACCCTTACATCTGGCCACCTAACTCCCCAGACTGCAACCATTTTGGTGTGGGATGTAGTCGAATGAGAAACCAACAAAACTCCTTGTAATACCAAAGATGAACTGAAAGCAAGGATTATGGCAGTGTTCACCAACTTAAAAAAGGAGACTGTCCAGAAGCGATGCAGGAGATTCTGAATTCGTCTGGAGGCTGTGGTTGAAGCAATTGGCAATTTTATTGAATAAATTTATTCTTTATTATTTTAAGATATTTTTGTGTATTTTTGGTAAATTATCTGTTAAAATGAGATGTCAGTGTTATTTTCATTTTTGCAGAATTTAGATAACAACTCATCCATCACACACAGTATATGAACAAAAATATACAATCACAGATGCATAAGTTAATGTTAAAGTATTCTCAAAAGGCATTGGTAGAGAAGTCAATATTTATAAGGAACTCAATAACAGAAGCCTAGTACCAAACAAAGTTAAATTTATTATCTAGTTAGAACCTATTGTTGGCCAGAGGTGTGCAACCATCTCCAAAAGTCATTCACTCTTTATCAAATATAACTTTGGTTTAATACAATTAAAATCAATTTAATTTTGTTTGATTTTTGAAATGAGGAATTATTAATATACTTTGACTTATATGAACTATTGATCTTTTCTTTGATTTTTATAAATGTTATTCTTTTGGATACAACATTTCAGCCAAATACCCAATGGCCATCTTCAGGTGTTTAATATTTTGGCTATATGGGATATGTTATGTGTTGATTATTGTGCTATTTTTATCTCTGTGGTGCTGGTTCTTGTTGGTTCTGGCTAAACTAAAATATATTATTTCACTAACTGATCCAGAGACTGAACTCATGACAGCAACATTTGACTAACTCATGCTTATTTCAACCCTGCTAGTATCTCAAAAGGACACCAATGATGTATTTTTAGAGCCTTTAAATTAAATGTCAGATGGTTTCAATATTTGGTTAAAACCAGACGTTTCTACTAATTTTGATAATTTTGTTTGATTTTTTAGATAAGGATTTATCAATATACTCTGACTTATTTAAACAATTGTTCTATGTTGATTGTTGTAGATGTTATAATAAACACAACATTTCAGCCAAATGTTCCTTGGCCATCTTCAGACATTTAATATTTTGATTATTATTTTAATATTATGTATTATTGCATTATTTTTGTCCTTATGATTCTTACTTATTCTTACTCATTCCTGCTGAACCAGAGTATATTATTTCAATCCCTGATCCAGGGATTGAACTCATAACAACTATATGACAGCAACACATTTAACCTATAACTAGAACCACACTTCTCATTCATGGAACTCTCTTCCTGTTTCCTGCTTCTCAATCAACATTGATCTTCAAAAATTTAAATGCCATGTTAATTGTTATCTTCTGTCTTTTTAATTCTTGTTCTTTTATTGTTTTCTCTCCTTAATAGTATTTTTTTCTTTTTCTTATTCTCTAACTCAGTAATTCCTTGTATGTTATTGGCTTTATTGCCTTGCTTGGAGTGAAAAAAAAAAAAAAACAGAAACAAGAAAACAACCTCTGTCTATATCATGTCATGGCTCAGTGGATAAATACATTGGTAAGTAATCCAGTGACTTGAACCAAGGAGTTGTGGGTTCACTACCTAACCACATCAGAGGTGAACATAAATTTGTAGAGTTGAGTTACTAAAGGGAAATAATTAAAACTGAGATATCCAGAAAAGGCACAGCAGGTATAACTAGAAAAATCTACTTAGGTGGACGAAATAAAGGATTTCGTTTGAAATTCCAATGTATATCACCTGAAGAAGGCTGAAGCATACAATGGCTGTAACATCATAAATTTGACAAAGATAAAGACAACAGTCCAAACAATCTACAGTGCTGTTCGATAAAAGTGACTCACCTGATATTTTTTAGTAAATGTTCTCTTCTTGTTATGACATGGCCACCCCAATCTCCCAACCTCAATCCCATAGAAAACTTATTGAGCATGTTGCTCAACTGCTTTCTCAAGAGCCTGTACTTTATAATGCTCCATAAGTTTTCTATGGGGTTGAGGTCAGGAGATTGGGGCGGCCATGTCATAACACTCACCTGCTTCTCATCAAAGTATTCTTTCATCAATTTTGATTTGTGACAGGGAGCATTATCCTGCATAAAAATCAGCTTGGTGGGGTCGATTTGCACCCTTTTAGCAGAAGGGAGCAGAAAAGACTCTAAAATTCTCTTGTACTGCTCACTCCTGAGGGTCTTTTCAATAGGTTTCAAGAAACCAGTTCCATGAAAAGAAAAGCATCCCCAGAACATTATACTGAACGGAAGCTTGATAGTACTTACTGCTAAATTCAAAGAGCTTTCAAAGCTTCTTCTTCAGATTTTAGATCGCTTATCCTTTGAATTTAGCTCAACTTTCGTTTCATCAGAGAAGAGAACATTTAGTAAAAAAAATCAGGTGAGTCACTTTTATCAAAAAAGCACTGTATTTCCACTATGCTTTTAACTCCAATATCAGATGGTTTGGGTATTTGATTATCACAGAGTGTTTGTATTAGTTTTGATAATTAAAATACCTTTCCTTAACTTATTCAAAAAACTGTTCTCGTCTGTGATTGTTATAGTTGTTGTTATAAAAAAAATGTAAGTTCAATGTTTACAATTTTGAATTCATAGTAATGTAATCATTCTAGGATTGCAAAGGAAATATTTGTCGCAGATTACTTCCACAACACAGAGAACAAATCACTGTAAGTTCAGACTCGAATATCAGGGGCAGAAAGAAATGCCAAAATCTCGATTCGCAGGTACTATCTCACAAATCACAATGCATATAACCAGTCAGAAAAATGACTCACTCTCTGATGAACGCAGTAGCCAAAATACACAAATTTTATTCCTCTCTCTCAATTCAAGAACACCAACTGCTTTTATCAGCTGAGCATGTTTTTTACTATTCATCAACAACTGGGAGAGTACGCCCAATTTTAGCATATCAAAATACTTTTATGGTGACTCCTGTGACTGACTTGTTTCTAATTTAAATATTCCATCCTCAGCATGTCATGTGGAATACGGGCCCTTTTTTTTGGTAAGTAATTTTCTTTTTTGCCACATTTTCTGTCGTAGGATACACGCGACACGCTGTTGCTTGGTTTGATGAGGCAAGTTGCCGTTTTCTTTGCTATAAGTAATTAAATTTTAAATGTATTAAATGTTTGTCCACAATCCAGCATTGTAAAAAATACGTCAATACTGATTTTAACTTTCTGATTACTTCTGAAGAATTGTGTAGAAAAGCAGTAGATTAAAAATGGACTTAATTTACTTTCAAATTCACTTTGATTTACATCACATCATAAAAATGATTTTGGTTAGTATGTTGATGTGGAAATGACTTAAAGAAGAAAAATGTGTTACTACTTAAAGTAGAAGACGATTGGACTGCCATGATATTATGAATAGAGTATATTTATTAGCTGGTCTTTATTTTGTATGTTTGATTTTGTAGGTCTGTTAGTTTTTATGCGATTGTTTTGTTAATTGAAACATTTTGTTAAATCATTTTTATGCAGCCTTGTCCAATGGATATTCCTTTTAAAAACTAATTATTCTAAGTACCTTGAACTTTGGAAAATGGACTCGGTTGTGAATTATTTCTGAAAAGATAGAAAGAGAAAGAGAGAAAAGATAGAACGAGAGAAAGAAAGAGAGAAATAATAGAAAGAGAGAAAAGTTAGAGAGAAAGAAAGAGAGAAAAGATAGAGAGAAAGAAAGAGAGAAAAGCTAGAAAGATAGAGAGAAAGAAAGAGAGAAAAGAGAGAAAGATAGAAAGAGAGAAAAGCTAGAAAGAGAGAAAGATAGAAAGAGAGAAAAGCTAGAAAGAAAGATAGAAAGAGAGAAAGATAGAAAGAGAGAAAAGTTAGATAGAAAGAAAGAGAGAAAAGATAGAGAGAAAGAAAGAGAGAAAAGCTAGAAAGAGAGAAAGATAGAAAGAAAGAAAAGATAGAAAGATAGATAGAAAGAAAGAGAGAAAAGAGAGAAAGATAGAAAGAGAGAAAGATAGAAAGAGAGAAAGAGAGAAAAGCTAGAAAGAGAGAAAGATAGAAAGGGAGGAAGATAGAGAGAAAAGCTAGAAAGAAAGATAGAGAGAAAAATAGAAAGATAGAAAGAGAGAAAAGATACAAAAACAGAAAGAGAGAAAAGCTAGAAAGAGAGAAAGATAGAAAGAGAGAAAAGCTAGAAAGAGAGAAAGTTAGAAAGAGACCAAAGATAGAGAGAAAGAAAGAGAGAAAAGCTAGAAAGAGAGAAAAGCTAGAAAGAGAGAAAGATAGAAAGAGAGAAAGATAGAAAGAGAGAAAAGCTAGAAAGAGAGAAAGAGAGAAAAGATAGAAAGAGAGAAAGCGAGAAAAGATAGAAAGAGACAGGGTAAATGTAGGACAAATAGAAAATGAAGCAGAGAAGGTGCTTGCAGAACATTTTCAAGCTGAAAGATTTCAAATTCCACAGGTTTTTGAAAGAAACATTTGTGCAATTTATGAAAGTTGACTTTGATTTTTATTTCTTTTTCTGTTAAGTAATCAATAGAATGCTTTTGAGTTTTGTCTTCTTGGGGCAATCACCGGAAAGGAAAAACGACCTAAATCAAATGACAGGCAATCTGTTATGGTTGTCACATTGCAAAATGAATAATTACCTGCCTCTTTGAATTGGAAGTACTCTCAATTACAGCGATACTATATTCACTGGACCATATCAAGCTACTCTATTATAATACATTGTGAATGTTTTATTTTGTTTAATTAAACATATCTAATAAGACAAAACTGTTTCGTTGCACTTAGCAATCTGTTTTTTGTTTTCTTTAAGAATTTGTCTCACTATTCTTTATAATGGTAAACAAAAGGTAGATAAAAATATAAAAAAACTTTTCATAAGCAAAAAATCTCATCAGAATAAATCTGGAATATTCTGTGCTTTGTTCATACAAATTTACTTTTTCGTTGGGCAGTTTTATGTTGCTAAGAATATTTTGGTCAATTCATTCTAAAGACTTCTTCAGGTGAATAATCTATAAATAAAAGAGAAAGAATAAGAAAATAATTTTTTTTTCTTCCTCAAAGATTATTTGGTAAATTTGCTTTTTAAGGCCCAAATGCCCGCATGCTAAATATCTCTTAAAATTTTCCCAAGTCATCATAATTCCATGTAAATGTATATGCTGAACTCAAATTAACAATTAAATTATGAAGAAACCTACCATTTCTGGAGTTATCGACAAGAAAAAAATCAGACTTCTTTGGGTCGTTCATCCCCCATTACTGCCATAATGTTCACTAATTCAGTGCCGAGTACATCCGGTGGCGCAACCTTAAATTTTGGCCTATTTACTTCCTTTACATAAGTTTGTTTCCGAAATCGATATGCATTACTGTAATTTTTTTTTTTTGGATAAGTGTATTTTTACTTAAAATTAAAACAAACAAAAATTACAATGTAAAGCAAAGGCTAAAAAGGAATTTTTTAAAAAGTAAAACAAGAAGAAAGTTAACTTTCAATTATATGAAAATATTGACAAATTAAAAAAAAACAAAAAGAACAAATTAAGTAGTACAGTAAAGCATTTTTTATTTTTTTAAAATTGACAATAAAACAAAGTTTGTAAAGCGAGCAAGATGAATATAAAGAAAAATTCAAAAAATGCACAAACTTTGTGAAGAGACAGTTAATTTTGAAAATAGTATTACAATTTAAAAATGAGGCTTTATTGTTATTTTCTAATTTGTCAATTTTGTTTTATTAGTTTGTTTTAATTTTAAGTTAAACTACACTCATCCCATCTACAAATTACATTGCTTCACGTATTGATTTCGGAAACAAACTTATGTAAAGGAAGTAAATAGGCCAAAATTCAAAGTTGCGCCACCGGATGTACTCGGCACTGAATTAGTGAACATTATGGCAGTAATGGGGAATGGACAACCAACATGAAGTCTGATTTTTTCTTGTCAATAACTCCAAAAATGGTAGGTTTCAGCATGAACATTTACACGGAATTATGACGATTTGGGAAAATTTTAAGAGATATTTAGCGTGCGGGTGTTAAAAAGAAAATTTACCAATTATTCTAAAGAAGGCTGTAGAATATATTGGCTGAAATGATGTGGCAAAATCTACAATATGAAAATGAATTGTCTGAACAGAGTTTGGAACATTCATGGCATTTTTCAATTATAGACAAAACAGTGAACATTTTAAACAAGTTCTGGAAGCAAATGGTTTAAACTACCAGCAATTAAATAAAATGTTAAATATTTATTTATACATAATGCATAATTTTGCCCTTTATACAACAATGTTCTTCTGTTGTTGTGGGATTCATTTCAGCTTCAACTGAAACATTTGAATCAAAGAGTGAATATTCGGTTGCAGAGAACATTGTTTTGTGTCTCCAAATATTATGTCACCCTGCTTGTTTGGCAGGGAGATAAAGAATATACCAATTATGCACAGGAAGAAGTTCCTACAAAGAGGCCATCTATTTACTGTACCTATGTCTACCTTTTTAACTCTCATGTAAACCAGACCTGTCTACTCTTTTTTGATTCTCATGCAAAAAGGACTGGTCTAATTTTTGGATTCTCATGCAAACCAAATCTATTGTAATGACAAAAGTATGCAGGTGTAGGCTTTAAGAAAGTTCTATTCAAATGAGAATACAAGGTTTGCATAGAGTGTCCTTTTATAGTCCCAGTAAACAGAAATAGCTCTCTCAAAGAGGAGAGTAACAAAACAAAGGGGAGACCACTTTTGATTATTCATAATATCTATATCTATCATTTTTGATTTTCATCCAAACCAAACTCATGCCTCCCTTTTTGACACTAGTATAAACCAAACCTATATATATCTTTTTAATCTCCTGAAAACCAAATCCATGTTTACCTATCTGCTTTATGACAGAATTCAGCATTAAATCACCTGGTAAAAGTTGATACAGTGATGTTTTGTATTTGTTCATTATTTGAAAAGTCTATTTTACAAATTGGTGTTTGAATGTACATTTAATAAGATTATTTTAATTTTTTTCAAAATAACAATGACCATATCTGAGATGTGCATAAAATTTCAAGTAGCACTGTATATCATAAAACAAACCAAACCAAACCAAACTCAAGTAAATATTATGGTAGTTTTATGAATGCTTTCGAAAAGGTAAAAAAAAAAATCAATACAATTCCAGGAATTCCTGGTGTGGATTTGTGCACAAACACACACACAAACACACACACACACACACACACACACACACACACACACACACACACACACACACACACACACACACACACACACATTTTTCTCTTGTCTTTTAACAACTGCAAAAAAAAGTTCATTCACAAATAAGAAAGGATCTTATTGAAAATAAGTAGACAGAACATGTCAAAATTATTTAATGAAACCTGTCTGAATGTAAACATGCTGCTGAAATACATGCATTTTAAATATATATATATATATATATATATATATATATATATATATATATATATATATATATATGAAAATTTCTCCAATTTAACCGGTAGAAGACAATTTATTCATAAATATATATATATATATATATATATATATATATTAAATAATTAAGAAAGAGACAACCTTAAGGTTTCCATGACTCTAATTTATTTCCCCAGAAAATATATGTTTCCTGGTTCATCAGGTCATATCTCTAGTAACTAGGTTGTCAATTACTTAATTATTTAATTAATATATATATATATATATATATATATATATATATATATATATATATATATATATATATTGAAATGCATGTATTTTGGCAGCATGTTTACATTCAGACAGGTGTCATTAAATAATTTTAGACACGTTCTGTCTACTTATTTTTGATAAGATCCTTTCATATTCACGAATAAGCTTTTTTGTATGGTTGTTAAAAGACAAGAGAAAAACATACATACATATATATATATATATATATATATATATATATATATATATATATATCAGGTCACATCTCTAGTTATTAGAGATATGACCTGATGAACCAGAAAAAATATATTTTCTGGGGGAATAAATTATAGTCATGGAACCTAAAGTTGTCCCTTTTCTTAATTATTTAATTAATATTTCCTCTTGTATTACATTGAGCTCTTTGGATTGCCTCCTCTTTGGAATTATCCACACAGATTACCAAACCCTTCATTACCTTACTATATATATATATATATATATATATATATATATATATAAAAGAAAGGTATATAAAAATGAAAAACAATATTCAAGCAAAGATCTCTCAAAAGCAATAAAAACTGCTGCAAATATTGTTAACATTTAAAACACTGCATTATTAATATTACTTTCCTTTTCATTGCATTCTTTTTCAAGGCTCTCAATTGGAGTATACTTATTGCTAATTTTGCCATAGTATGATATGACAGCACAACTATGAAATTCAAACACAGTATTGTTCAGGGATCAGAATCACTTTTAGTGACAGGATAAACTTTTTGTGCAGCAAATGATGTCACATGCAGAGGGATAAATGTTAAAGTAGAAACAATAGAAAAGTTAATAAATCAATGAATGAAAACTGATGAAGATTATTGAATGTCAAAGAGTTATTAGCTTGTAAAATAACAATTTATTTAGATGTATGGGACATTATGTTATAGGGATTGATTCATGAAAATATATCTCAAGTATTATTTATTAACCAGATGTTATAGTTTGTGATGAACACGTGATATCAACCATTAAGTAGAAAGAGGTTGTAGCTTACCAAGTCTCATAACTATTATGTGGCTTGTAAAAGAAGACAGAAAAAAAAACAACCAATCAAATGCATGTTAGCAATATTTCAAATCAAGGGACAGCTTATGAAACTCATATAATCTTACAAAATTTATCAGGATCAAGTTATTACAAATGACCTGCTCAAGATGAACAAAGCAGAGAAAACTAAAAATTCTTTAAGGGTGTCATATCCATAAAGAAATATATAAATAAAAAAATGAATTATACTCTCACTGTGTCATGTCCATAAAATAAATAAATAAAAATTATACGGTCAAAATAATTATAATAAAATAATTATAACAATTACAATTAGCATTGATTCATTCTTTCTAAATCAATGAAAATCAACCCCACTTTTCTCCTCTACACACACAAACATGTGATATTCTCACTATTGGACAAGCAGTCAACACGGACAGCCTGTCAACAAGTGTGCCAACAGAAATTTCAGCTCCTTTTCCTTTTTCAGGCCATAATTATCTCTTAGCACTCAACACAAATTTGGTGTAAGAAAACCCCGCAGACACTTCTTGCATAATAATGGACAAAGTCCAACAAAAAGAATATAAATATAATATAAAATATAAAAAGAATGTATAAACATAAAAAATGTCTTAAAATAATTGTCGGACTTTGTCCATTTCATAATGTGTGACGTCATTTGTTTACATTTGATACGCCATGAGCAGATATGAATGAACGTGAGAGATTCATGGAAGATTGAAGTTTAAATACAGTAAATTCGACCTTGCTAACCAAACGCTCCTCTGTGGCCAAATCGGTTAAAGGCATGTCAAGCTAAATGACAGTTACAGGTTCGAATTCTGTCGGAGGACAAATATTTTCTGTGAAAATTTCTCGGACATTCAGGCCAGTAAATTTTGTTAATACTGTTTATTATAAATAAAGCATTCACTTAAATATTTGT